ATTTCAGCCGCCTAGCTTTTGTGGTTCCCGAGTTGAAAGTGCAGGACAAAATGTGGGACACACACATGCTGTTACACAGCACAAAACGCATAAAAATTGTTACATACGCACGCCCACCAATAAGCCCTTGCCAAAATGCGCTTTTGTATTGCAAAATGCAAAAAAAAAGCATAAAAACCCGCCCCGCACTCGCAGCAGTCTCACCAACAATAGCCGGCCACCCATCTGCATTCTGGTGCGGCAACTATTCTCTGTTGTATACTATTTTCGGGTAGCGCTGCCCGGCGCACCCTGTTGCAATACGTATTGGGGGACTGCTAGCTAGAGGGGCTGGTGTAGTTGGAGGTGACGATGGGTGGGTGTCCAGATGTAGCCTCGGATAGGGACATGAGGGATACGGGACGATTAATGGTGACAGTAGCTGCCCGGATGCCGCTGTGGAGGCAGGATGGAGATGGATAAGGGTACAGGCCAGAAGTTCGATGCAAAAATTGAGGGCAGTAGTAAAGAGGAAGGGACAACACAGCAGTACAAAGAAAAATTAAATTAAAAAAAGCTTGAATTATGAAAGAAAATACAAAAAGAAGCGAAACCAAGGAATCGGAATCTATAAATACAATTTGAAGAAAGCAGAAGCAAATAAAAACTGAAAAAGCAGAAGCAAAAAACAAATAGCAAGAGGCACAGCCATGGGTGGAATTGCCTTATTAAAACTCTTGCACAGTTTTGGGTTTCCCTATTTGCGAAGCTGAGGCTTACTTTCCCAAGCGGCTAAGATTAGATATATTTTGCAGGAAAAAGCAAGGCAAGCGATCTTTATTTTAAAAAAAAATTGTCCCAGGGATAATAAACCAATAAAATTTGCATCACTTCACAAACACTGGAGGATACAGGTTTTTTCTGCCTTCCTTCAAAGTTTGTTTTTTTTTTTCGTTTCATTTTATATTTCGGAGTTATTGAAAGCTTAATTTCTTGTCGCTGTTCTCGGTTCGATTGAATAATGCACTGTACTCGGCCTGCATGAAATTTGATATAAACAAGTTTCGCAAGCAGAATAGGCATAGCTTATTGTTGCTATATGACTAACTGAAAATTTCTCGAGAAATATTTGATTCTTACTTTTTGAAACAGCAGATCAAACATCTTTTGTAGTTTGGCATTTTTTGAATCCTAATTCCTTCCTGAACTTTTTCACGTTCAAAAAACGCATGTTAAAACTTATGCGTTTCATCTCTGAGATCACAGTGTTTACTCGCAGTAATAATTCGGCACTGTACAGCAGCGAGCTTTTGCTTCGATTTCTGCTTATCACTTCGGGTTTTTTCGGAATTCAGTTTGTAACTGTGCTTTTGGAGCTTCTCCTTGTTTTTGCATTGGCAATATTCTAAATATGCTTTCCACTGTTTTTACGCCGTATCGTGCTACGCCGTTTTGACGCCAGCACAGCGTACATTCCTAATTTTATGAGTTTAATGTTCTTTTGTGAGCCTAATTTTCTATTGTTTTTCTCAATCACTGCCTCTTCGTCGTTTTTATAGACTAACATTTTATAAGCCGATTGTAGTATGCAGGTTGATCTAGGGTGCCAAAGTAAGAAAGGTGTATAAGCAGCGGAAAAATAATAGGAAAAAACAATTGAGTTAAGACGTTTCGGTCCATTAAGTCATCTACGTCTTAATTCAACACCACGGCTGGACCTCGTCAGTATGACGGTTGTGGTGTTCAGGGAAGAGAAGGAAAAGGAAGGAATATAAGAGAGAAGGAAAAAAGGTGAAAGGGGAAAGAGGGAAAAAGGAAGAGGAAGAAGAAGAGAGAGAATGGAGGTTATTATTTATAAATTCAGAGTGGTTAAGAGAGATAAAAAAAAAATTTGCTGTTTTTTAAATTAGTTAAAAAAAACTAAATTTGATGCCTTGCTGTATCTCAAATAATCACTTTCATGTATGCGTACACTGCGCCTTTCTCAAAATTGCCTGTAGCTCTCGGTATCAGTTAATGAGGTTTGTTATCTTCATCATTTGCATAAAATATTGCACGAGATAATCTTGGCCCGGAAGTGCCGGGCTGATTGGTTTTTGCTAAACATAAATAGCTAGCCACGAATTCGCAATCCGCGTTGTGTAGTTTTAATTTGAGAACATTGTCGGCATACTGCCTTTAGTGTTTTGAGATAAGAATGACCACTTTATGGTGGAACATTGGTCAA